TTTATAGTTAATATCCACCAGAGATCATCAAGCATGAAAGGAGCATGAAACAACCAATCAGATGGAATGGTTTGGCCAGACATCATCCTCTGTCATTGGTCACCCTCAGAACTAGAATAAATGTCAAACGTATGCAGTGGACATGGGGATAGACTTGGTTGTTTTGCATGAACCCAACTGCATGAGCTCCCACACACCAAGATTACTCTACCCATTGATGCTACTGAATGTGCAACATTCCAGAAACAGAGCTGATGTTCTATCTCTGGAGGACATCACCTGGCCACTTAGTGTGAAGTAAATTACATTGGACCTCTTTTGCCCTGAAAGAATTGTCAATTCATTATGATTGGAGTTGACTACATTTAGACAATTTCTGAATGAGATTACCTTCTCTTTTTGCAGCACCTCAGCAATGGAAACCAAATGATGGTTTACAAAGTAATTGATGAGCCCAAATGAGGTCTTACAAATATCACATCAAAAAACTTTATAGTAGTGGAGGTGTAGCTGTGAGCACATGGTCATGGCACCCGTTGATCTTCTTACATACCACATGACCCAGAAGTTGTAGGACTAATCAAGTGATGGAACATCCTTAGAGGATGCTACTTAGGTGCCCAGTTTGGAGATGATACCAGCAAAGATTGGGTCTCTTCCTCCAGGACACAGCAAATGTCCTAAATCAGTGGATCGAGGTCTATAATGCCACCAGAGCAGGTAGGGTTTGTTTGTTTGTTTGTTTTCTTTAGAAGTAAACATTATTTCCTTGCTTCTCAAATCTCCCTTTCTTTATACTGAATATGCAGAAGTAAAAGAGCCAGAGGCCCTGCACTTGTGAAATTACATTTTATTAATTTCAAAAACGATTGCATTGTTAGCTATATTTTGAAATGCCCAGTGTATTAATGATCTCAAAAATCATGCTTTTAGATGTAATTTATTCAACATTATAAAACTTCTTAATTACTATTTTCTAAAATTGTTTTCATTATTTCATTTTTTTATTAGACTTTGTTCCTTCTTTAACATATAATGTCTTGAAAATTTTATTATTGTATTTTCATTTTCTCTTTTTAAAAAGTTTATTTTTTAGTAGATATGTAGACAAAAGCATACCTGGTTTGGGCACTGACCTCAATTAATCCAGTATAATAAAAATTTACTTGTTTCAGTATGTTTCTGTGTAAAGTAATAAACTTTAATAATAGAAAAACAGGTATGATAATCATAGCTCTATGCTTAATAACTAATAGTCCTCTGAGTTAATTTCTTTTCTCTAAATTGGGAATGATAAACCCATATCTATTTGAGGCCATATTTTTAAAATATTTTTGTTTATTTATTCATGAGAGACACAGAGAGAGAGAGGCAGAAACATAGGCAGAGGGAGAAGCAGGCTCCGTCTGGGGAGTGTGGTGTAGGACTTGATCCCAGGACCTTGGAATCATGACCTGAGTCAAAAACAGACACTCAACCACTGAGCAACCTAGGTGTATTTGGGGGACCATATTTAAACAAGATCTATATTATGTCATATTTAAACAGTATAATGAATCCAAAGTGCTTTCCTAAGTGTGCTACTGCCTCTTAAGTACTTTGACAAATGCAACTTTGTGTTTTCTAACTCTCCTTTATATCATAGGAAGCCATGTTTCTTTGTCCTTGGGAACTGGGTAACCTCATAGCACAGGCCTTTAAGAAGTTAGGGCAGTAGTAGACCATAAAAGGACAAATAATGGTCATATTAGGGAAAGAGATCTTTGCCAAGGTGTTTGGAAGAAACTCAGATATCAGAAGCTTGCCTCTACGAACTATGGACAATTTGGCCTTGACCACAAACCAATTCAGTTATTTTTTTGTGGAGGTGATCCAAGTTACCATGTTCATTCCGAGCAGGGCAAAGGAAAAGGTTCCTTTGGTATTGACACTTAATTCCAAAGTACTTTCCTAATTCAACTTAATGTAACATAAATAATGTAGTGATTTTGCCTATTTTATTCACATTTCTCTCTGGGCTTTTTTTTTTTTGAAGATTTTATTTATTTATTCATGAGAGACAGAGAAAGACAAGCAGAGGCATAGGCAGAAGGAGAAGCAGGCTCCCTGAGGGGAGCCTGATGCGGGACTTGATCCCAGGATCCCAGGGTCATGACCTGGCCAAAGGCAGATGCTCAACCACTGAGCCACCAGGTGCCCCTATCCCAGTGTTTTACTGTAAGTGTGAATAAGTATTTGTTGAATAAATGTTAGTGATTTGCATAATATAAATGATATAGTTTCTCCTTTCTTTGGAAATCTTCTAACAAGTTCATATAGAACATTTCACATCTGCAAAAAGACCTAGATAAGTTCAAATTTAATGAATTTAAGGATGAGTTCTAACCATTGCTATTGGAAAATTGGTAGAATTTGATTAGTTATAAGTGTCTTTGTTGAGAGTCAAGTTGCTAGTTTGTTAGAATATTGACTTCTTGAATTATTGATTCTATAGCACAATGTATGTGATACATACCTCCACTCCCATATTCTCTTCTTGTAGTGTATTGTTTGGCCTTTCAACTAAAATCTAAAATCTGTGATATACTTTTTTTATATGACGTGATGTTGGTATTAAGATTTAGAGTATTTTTTTCTCCATATAAATATCCAGTTTACTCATCAACACATGTTAAAAAGGAAGAACATTTTTCTCTATTGTACCTTTTGGAAACTTTGCCATACTCAGACAATTGTCCATTCTAGATCTCAGGGTTATTACATTGGTCATTTTTAACATCTTTGCATCAATACCAATTTTCATACTTAATAGACTTTTTTTATGAAACCTAGTGAAGTCTAGTATGAGTAGAGATGTATAGCTTTAGACATTGGAGGACCTGGAAGCATATTACAGTGTAGGTGAAAGACTACATAAAGACAAGTATCCTCTGCTGAAGACACAGAACACTTGGCGTAAATTAAAAGCCTCATGAGGACATGTATTAGTATGTTTGTTTTTCTTAGTTGACACAACCTATCTGGGGCTTTTATTGGCATCTTCTGTACAACCTCTGTTTGAGAAGTTTGGGGAAGTTGTAATTTACACTTAGGACTAAGAAAAAAAATACTTATGGGAAGTCCAAGAACATTCTGAATAACATGATTCTCTTAAATTGGCTTATATCATTGTTATAAAGTCAGTTGCATTTCACAGGGATATTTTGAGATGTGATAATTTTCTACAACACTTTGAGCATTAACCAGCATTACACATTGACCTTGCAATGTGGCTGGCTTAGAGGAAGAGGTCAGATGAATAAATTCAGGATAAGAAGATCCCAGGATGTCTAGACGGGTAAAGCATCCATCTTATGTTGCAGCTCTTCTTGTGACCATGCAAAGAAGAGAGATAATGTGATATGTGATGGGAGCAATTGGCAATCTGGTTGCAGCAGGAATGGCAGCTTTATTGTTTGTGAGTCAGGAATAGTGCCTTACTGGCACAGAACAGTACTGTGCACTATGGTATAAAATAATGTTAGATATTCAAGTGAATGATAAAATCAGCTGATTAACTGGGAAAGATGGTTCAGGCACAGTTGCCCTCACCATGACTGAGTTTCTACTCACATCCAAGGACCCAAATCCAGAGAAAGGATTATGAAAGTTGGAACAAAAGTAAATTTGGCTTGGAGAGAGAATTACCTCCTCCATTTATGGACTATAAAATGGTACTAGACATATCTGAGATAATGTGAATGAAGATGCCTGTGGTATGGATGATGGTTACTGGTTAAACCAAGCCAGTGTACTTGGCTGGAATTGGGAAGGTGTGCCTGTAACCCCACATACCAAAGGGCTACAGGGCTTGGCGTTTATAATACTGGATATGTGTGAGGGTTCCTGCCATGAGATAGGACGAATGCTAAGCTACATGCCAGACTGCAATGTTAGAGCCATAGGAAATAAAACTGAGCACTCAGTGCTGCAGTGACTCATAAATGCCTCAACAGTAGAGCTGTGGATTGGCTCTTACTCCACTACAGCTCTAACTCATGGAGAATCACATAGGAACTCTGCATCTCTCCTTGAGGGATTGAGTTTTTGTAGAACAGCCAGACTTCGAAGGCAGATGCAAAAATGCTGTTGCCAGTGTGACCTGGTGATGTTCTAGGGGCAACAGTGGTGATGTCAGTGTCACCACTATGCATCTGAACAAAAACTTTTTTAGTGACTGTTACACTGGGATATCTATTCTAGAGCCTAACCAATATTCTCTGCTATCACATAGTGATATATATGGGGAATGCAGACATACAAAACTCCTCAAAGTGAAAGACCCTGACTAGGTGTATTTAAAGTTCAAGCTAGTAAATTATGAATGACAGCTTATTTTATAGGTCTTGGCTGTGCATTAAGACAAAATGTCAATAACTATTAGATGCGACAAAAGTAGCACTTGAAGAGAAATCCCAGCTTGAAATGCAAATATTCCAAAAGATGAAAGTTTGAAAATCAGTATCAAAAAGTAAAAGAGAGCAACCTGGGTGGCTCAGTGGTTTAGTGCTGCCTTCGGTCCGGGGAGTGATCCTGGAGACCTGGGATTGAGTCCCATGTCATGCTCCCTACATGGAGCCTGCTTCTCCCTCTGCCTCTCTCTCTGCCTCTCTCTCTCTCTTTCTCTGTGTGTGTGTGTGTGTGTGTTGGTGTGTGTGTCTCTCATGAGTAAATAAAATATTTTTTAAAAAAAGTAAAAGAATTGCAAATGAAACAAATAAAAAGGAAGTGCATTGATAAAGATGAAATTAGAATTAAAATGAATAGAAATAATAGCAGTCTTAACCTGAATAGATCTTTCACAAACTACCTGTAGTTTGTGAAATAAAAGTCTTTTCATAAATGCCTTTATGTTTGGGCATATTGAAGTAAAGCCCCCAATAATGAACACCCAGAGTTCAACCTGTCTCCATCCCTGGGAAGTAAAAGTATTCTGCCCATGAGCATAACCACTTAATAGTTTACTGCCGGGATTGACAATTCAGAAAAAAAATCTGTGCCACACGTTTACGAATCACCTTGTTTTTTACACCATAGACGATAGGGTTGAGTGCAGGTGGCACAAGCAGGTAGATGGTAGACAGAAGAATGTGGGTAGGGGGAGCAACATGTCCAAAACGGTGGCTGAAGAAGGAGAAGAAGGCAAGAATATAAAATTCAAGGAAAACAAAAATGTGAGCTGTACATGTATTAAATGCTTTGAGCCGAGCCTCCTTTTGATGTAGACGGAAAACAGCCTGGAAAATAAGAATGTAAGAAATAATAATAAAAATCATGTCAAACCCCAGTATTGTAAAACCTACAAGGAGACCACATGTTTTATTGACTCGGATATCTTCTGCAGCTAGCTTGACCACAGCCATGTGCTCACAGTAAGAGTGAGCAATCACAATGGAATGGAAAAAGTGTAGTCTTTTGATTAAAACAGGTAGAATGCCAACGAGCACCATTGCCCGAATTGCCACAACTAGCACCAAAGTAACCAAGATGAAAGGAGTGAGGATGGATGTGTGCCTCAGTGGATCACAGATGGCAACATAGCGGTCAAAGGCCATGGCCAACAGGATGCCAGATTCCATGCCTTGCAAGGAATGGATGAAGAAAAGCTGGGCTAAGCAAGCATCAAAAGCCATGGAACGGGAGCCAAACCAGAAGATGGCCAACATCTTGGGAGCAATAGCTACACAGAGTCCTATGTCAGTGGCTGCCAGCACTGCCAGGAAGATATACATGGGTTGATGCAAGCTGCGTTCTGCAGGAATGATGATCAGTAAAATGATGTTTCCCAGAAAAGCCACCACACATACTACAAAGAAGGAAAATCCAATCCAAAACTGCACATGCTCTAGTCCAGGGATCCCAATTAGCATCACTGTTGTGGGGTCCAGATATGACATGTTAATGGATGCCATGGAAGTTTGTGCTCTCTCTTCTCATCACTAATTCTCAATCCTGCAGAAAGAGAATGGGAGTGAGAAGTGAAGAGGACACAAACCCCACTATCATTCAGACATATTGATCCTTGAAGAAATAAGTTTAGGCTTTGGGTTACAGTTTGGCTGGATTATTCAGAGGTTCTGTGCTAACACAGCAGTAGCAAACAATCCTACAAAACTTCTGCTAGAGGGCAGCCCAGGTGGCTCAGTGGTTTAGCACCTTCTTCGGCCTAGGGCGTGATCCTGGAGACTGGGATTGAGTCCCACGTCGAGCTCCCTGCATGGAGCCTGCTTCTCCCTCTGCCTGTGTCTCTGCCTCTCTCTCTCAATCTCTCTGTCTCTCATGAATAAATGAATAAATATTTTTTTAAAAACTGCTTTCTTTGTGGAAATGGAAACCATGAGTCTGAGAATACTGATCTTTTGCATTTTCTATGACCTCTAGGCTGGGCTGTTTGAGACACCTACAGTAGGCTTTCCTTCTTTATTTACATGTGGATGTCAGCCCAGTTTTGCTGCAAATGAAGATTCCATCCAGGCATCTTGTGGACATAGAAGAACCCCATTTCTGTTGCCCCATGTGGATGAGTACATAGTTTATGCAAGCCTTCATCCTCAATCAGTATTACTCCTGGTCCAAGGAAGCAGGTTATATATCCCTGAATCTGTGGCATTGGTTCTCATGTGGGGATTGGTAGGAGGTAGTTTAGCCATCTTGCATTCACTCAGTGTTCATTATAAAGACATTGAATAAGTCACTGCTTGACAGGACATTAAGTGTGGCCCTTCAAGGAAATTTGAAGAACGTGGTCTGTTTCAAAGGCAGCCAGGGATGGGCAGTTCTCTGAATAAATTAAGTTCACTTAAATTTAAAGTGGATTTGTTGAAAGGAATAGGGAGAGTGGAATATGGAGGATGTTTTTTACAGAGTCTTAGAAAATTAGTGAAAGAATACAGAGGGACATTTTAGGAAGAGTAACAACTAAAAATAGGTTAGGATAGATATAGTCAGAAGCAGAACTTAGCCAATTTAGAGATGCCATACTGCTGGATGAGCATGATGTTCACTCTCCACAGGTTAAATATCAGTGGATTACTTGGTAAAGTTGAATATCTTCTGGTTTCCACAATAAGGATACTACTTTATTCTCAGTAATTTTACACTGTACTATGATAGTGTATTCTATACACTATACTATTGTTAATTAGCTGTGGTTTGAATCCTGAAGCGCCTTTGAGTATAATGAGCTAATCTTATATCTCCCTAGGTTTATACTTTTTTATTGAATTGACCTGATTTCTCTTTAATGGAATCCAAAATCACAATTAAGCAGTTCATTTTTTGTTTCCCAGTAGTATCTACTGCATTAATTATTCTCTAATATTTAAACCAGTTCTTGTTTTACTCCAGTCTTTCCATGTCAACACGCTGACTGAAATAACTCTCACAAAATATTTTCCTCTGATTTGGTAACATCCATTCACCCTAGAAATGGAGCCTTTTATGTATAGCAATAGAACTCTTCTGTTTTTTATTGGGGCAGTCGCTTGAAAATAGTCATATAAATAGCTGCCTCAGGGTCACTTAAAGTACATGTGTGGAAGCATCAAAGGAATTTTTGATACAATAATTATTACATTAATGAAAAATAATTAATGGAGAGACACCGAGTTCTCTTTGCTTGTTTTCCAACAGTAAAACTAATGATCAGACTATAGTCAAAATAGTCATAAGACATTGACTAAAGCAATAAATATTGTGAAAAATAATTTCCTTTGATGTTTGTTATATTTGGATATATGTGGTGGAAGAACTAATGGAATATGTGGAAGACTTTGCCAATAGTTATGAAAGTGAGTTGCCAGATGATAGAAGCTAAGAGAGAAAGAAATCTCAAAATCTAAGTAAATAGGTATCTCCTAAATAATTGTTCAATATCTGGCTGATATTGTAAAGGCAAAAATAAATATTGTACTTAGCTCTATGTAACTTGATGATAATGCCTTTATATCGGAGTATTTATCTAGAAATCAGCAAGCGGTTAAATTCAAAGCTTTGAAACTCTGAAAGATGAGCCTCTCACCACACACATACATTTACCTTTTATGGAATCCTGCTAGTTACCTTACTTATCACCCACAGTTTACCCATCTGTAAATTAACAACAATTACTTTACTTACCCCATTACTAAATGAGATCATATAGAGAGTACATCAGTGGTTGGCATAGTTCACATATTTTCCATAGCAGTTTATGAAAATATGTTATTTTGTCAAGACAAAAACAGGCTGCATAATATGGAGGAGACAAGAAAAAAACACACAGAAGTCAGTGAAAACTTGTTGATGATAGAAATGAAAAAAATTACCACAAGATGAAAATTCCAGAGCTAAAGAGCTTCCTTCCATCTTCCAGTATATAACTTGACCACAGCCAAAATAAGATGATGTCCCAACTACTTTGCAGATTTCCATGCAGTTAAATAATGTCATATGATTTTTACAAAATCTTTGTAACAATTACTCCTTTACAGACTTTGTAAGTTAGTAGGAATAAAATGAGATAAGGCCAGTGCATCTGAATTACGTTAAGTACAATTATTACAGGAAACAATAAGTGCATGGATTTGATGAGTCTTATCTTTCAAATAACATAAATGCTATCATAAAAGGGATTGACTCAATCTTAGTTACTGAGTAGAAAAGAAAAAAAATTTATTTATTTACTAGGCATAGAGAGAGAGAGAGAGAGAGAGAGAGAGAGAGAGAGAGGCAGAGACACAGGAGGAAGGAGAAGCAGACTCCATGCTAGGAGCCTGACGTGGGACTCGATCCCAGGACTCCAGAATCCCACCCTGGGCCAAAGGCAGGCGCTAAACCACTGAGCCACCCAGGGATCCCCAAGAAAGAAAGGTTTTAATAAATGATCTCCAGCAGAGGCAAGAGGTCAGAAAGGAGGTTTAAGTATCCTTTCCTCCATCATAAAGAGGACTAAGATGATGTATAAATGGATCAGACACTAAAGCTTTTCATAGCCTACAATTTTCCTGTATTTCTTATCCTTTCTGTATCACTCAAACACCCCACATCTCCACAGACATAGGTCGTTGGTTGTCTCATCCTTTTTTATTTTCAGTGAACTGAAAACGTTACAGTTAATAGGTATCCAGGTGACTGGATTCCAGAATCATGAAAACCACTTTGATGTATCATAAATTATTAGAGGGCCAGAAATAGAAGATGGGACTGAATTATCTGCAAAATTCTTTCAATATAAATTATATTAGATTTACAATAATCTAAGCTCCCCTCCCCATTCTCTTTTTCTTGATGAAAAACTCTAAATACAGAGAAAAATATAACATGGCAATGGATAGAAAAATTAATGACCAAAGCAGGAGTGAGAAAAGTTAGTCTATTCATTCTCTCCTAAAATATAACCCATTATAGCCCTTTAGTCACACCCAGTTCCCAAACTGTAGAGGAAAACCTTACCTGGATAGAGCTGAGGGCTGATTTGCCATCTGAGTAGGTGAGTTGCATCTTTGTTCCCACCAACATTTCCAGCAGAGGTGGATATTAAAGAAAAGGTTACTAGGCCTTCCTGGGTGCTTGGGCTGATCCCAGAGCATCATTACGTTCCCAATCCCCAGAGTGTCATTATCTTTCTGATCCCCCAGCTTCCTTTCCCCCCCCCCAGCTTCCTTCCCAGGAGTGGGTTGGACTGGCCCTGCAACATAAGGCCAGAGAGTTTTCTGAATTCTAGAAGGAAGAAGTCTGCCTGGATGGAGAATTGGGAACACTGATCTTGGGTTAGGTTTAGAGAAATTTGAGCATGAGCTCATGAGGAGTGAAATCACCAGAATGTGAGAAATGGAGATTTCTTAAGATGTAGAAATAAAACAGAAGTATGTTTTCATCCTCTGTTACCTGACAGGACCTATAGATGAAGTAGTATAGTAGTTACTATTGTGTTGATCAATATTATAGTAATCTTGCTCCACCAGCTCCCTCTTTTCCCACTAATACTACATATTACTCCTGTTTCTCCTTCATCTCCTCCTTTTCTTCTTTATCCTCCTATGAAGAATGTCATTCCTGTTGCCTAGTATTTCATAGTAATTTTCAGCTTCAAATGAACTTTAAGTATTTTTTTTTCTTATGGACCACATTCTTCAAGCTCCCCATGGTCATTGAAATATTCAGTAATTCATCATCTCTCCTCTATTTTTTGAAAGGTGATGGAACCTTTCAGCAAAACCTCCCAGATGACAAGTTTTATAGCTTATTATCAGTAATGGGTTATCCCTCTCAGAATATGGAGGATATTTCATATGTCAGCTGCTTTCTGACCCAGCGTTTTAGTAGGAAAATCATTAGGTAACTGATGGCAAAATGGGGGCAAATTGCCTTTCTCTAGCAAGCCTGTAGGTTACTGGCTTTTAGATTATGGTAACCAAGAGGGCTAGGGATTTCCACCTAGATGTCTTTCTTCTGAGTGAGGCTCAACTGTTTGACACTCTGTATCTTCATGTGATATCATCACCAGTTTGTTTATTCACTTACGTACTTACTTTTTTAGTATTAAGTTGTTAGTATTTGTCCAATCTCAGAATTATTAGTTCAACTTCAGTACACATACAGAATAAGTTTGGTCTGTGAAGAGGAAAAGAAAATGTTTTCATGCACCATCATTATTATCTTTCATTGGTTTTTCCTGTTTTTTCTTCTTCCAGGTTTCCTCAGGAATTTATTCTAAGGGCTGACATCTCTCCCTTTTGCTACCTCCTTATCTCACTTTCTTTTCTCTACATCACTCAGATTATTTACCACTTTATTCTTTGACATAGGTCTTGTCTTTCAATTCTTTCTTTTTTTCCTTCTTTCTCTCTCTTTTTATGTCTGTCTCACTCAGTTTTCTCAAAGGGTCTCAATCAGTTGTCTGTTCTTTTTGGAGTACCTCCCTTTCATATGC